GATAGAGGGTGACAAATGCGAGCATGTCGACCGGAGTTGTGCGTACTCAGCCATCAAATCAGGTAGTTCATCGAGAGCGGGCTATGTACATCAATCATGTCATGTCATCAACTTGATATCCACGACATACTCCAACAATCACATGCGGGTAGTCGATCCAGTCTTGCCTTCGGCCTTGTATAGTGCAAGCAAGTACTATTCGTCCTATCGGCACGAGGACGTTATAAGGTTAATCCTTTGTCTGCACGTCACGCCAGCCGCGAAGGAGCTGGGAGCTCTCATCACGTATGTGCGCATGTATGTAAGGTAGGTAGGGTAGGTATGTAGGTAAGTATGTGGATTAACCAGCCCGCAGCACCGGGTACCTACCTCTCACCACGCACACCCACCTATGTGCCTACATCATGTACGGCCCTTCTGATCCTTCGAGAGAACCAGGACCAGCCAATCCCGGGCTGAATCTCGCGGACTCGTGATGAGGAGGCGGCCTCTCTGCACGGCCTGCGGAATCGCGATTCGCGTCTAGGTCCCATTATTCTCATTTTATCATTTCAGCAAGCGTCTCTCCCTCCTACCTGCTCTGTTCTGCGAATCCTACGATGCTACGATGGAGATTAGAGGTCTTGGTCGTGCATAATGAGGTAGGTGGACGGATGGGTGACGGATGATATATGATGACCATATTTAATTCGGACTGCGAATGGTGTGTGGAGGTCTCGTCTCCTGTCTTCCCGTAGACATACATGAATACACACATGGTCGGCCACCCTGTGAGCTCCCCGTCTCTGGCGGCTATGCTATAGCGTATCCAAGTTTTTGCGTGTATATTTAGTAGCGTCGATGCTACGGTCGTGAATGCAAGGAGTTGTGATGCGTCTACATACATACAGGAGGATTCACTCTACAGTGAGCTACCTACGTACATACCTAGCGGGCTAGACGCCTCAATGCAACCTTCGCCACAGACCGCGTATGTGACACTTCGTCCATCATCCGACTGCATGCGGAAACAGGTTATCTGTCAATCCTGACCACGCGGGTCGTTCAGAGGAGTGAGTCTCTAGGCTTCTCTTCTGTGGTAATAGCTCGTCTATCCTGATTCCAGGTCTAGAGAGACAAATGTGTGGGACAAGGGTAATTTCCATCATGAATGGGTCGTCATGTTGGACCATGTGTGTGGCTTTATGTGATATATACGTAGACGGAGGCCTGTGCGACATCGCTCGTGACTGTCGTCTATTTTAGCTACGATGATGCACAAATTTATTGGAGGATGGAAGGATTAGACGCCTCTTCGTCCACGGCAATAGCTAATTTTGGATCCGACAACATATCATATTATCACGGAGTGAAGTTTATAGCTATAAGGAACACGAAAATGACATGTCCTGTTCGGAATCTGTAGACAGCTTCCAGTAGGTTGGCTTGAAAACATGTGGTAGAGTCTAGTAGTTGCCTAGCCTGAGCACCAATACTGAACACCATGACAAGGATAGAGAGAACGTTTAACATGATTAGTGTTTTGAAATTTGGGATCTAGCTCCAGCCACGAGGCAAAATTTCACAGCTTTTGTTGATGGTGGTAAGGGGCCTTTCTTCACGTTTTCGGACCTTGATCAAGAATAATAATTCGCCAACAACGAAGTGTAGAACTAAACACCCCCAGGCTATCGAGTGTAGGCGAACCACGGCCTTTCTCTAACGACTCCTAGCTCAACATCTAATTCTAGACGTTGTTTACATGGCGGCGTTCATCAAGGCCCTTACTTTTACATACACGATTTCCGTCTCTCGTTGCTGGTCCGGACGCAACTTAAGGAAGACGATGTAGCGGTTACACTATACGACGAGTTTGTCTATTAGAAACTCATGGCTGGAGCCGGATCCTAAATCTCAAAATAAAAGTTAAAGATACCTAGTTAGCTAATAGATATAAAATTCGAGCAAACTGCGAAACTAGTGTTTGAATCAAGATCGAGAAATGAGCCATTGGTTTCTGATTGTTCCCGAAGCTCATTAAACTTGTATACTTATCTTTCGAAGACTTCTAGTTCCATGCCGCTAAGATATTCTTATTCGCATTTTTGAGTCGGGATGTCGTGAGGGTGGAACTGCCGGGACGTAGTTGTCACGAGTTTGCAATAGGCACTAGGAGTTTGACATGCTGGAGCTCAAATGATAAGAGTTGCGAGCTAAACTCAACGCACATAGTGTAAAACGGCGAAAGGACACCAAAGATGACGCTTGAAGTCTTGCTACTTGGGGGTTTCGCATTGGCGCCGAGGACTTGAATCATGGTATATCAAAAGAGTCTATTATTGAGTGTCCGTGACAGGTCAAATCTTATGGAATCTGCTAAATATTGACCACTTGTTGGGTTTGTCATCACGTTGGGGTCTAGCAGTGCAGAGTTTCACGGCAGAGGCAGAATGTTGACGATTGTCAAATCGTCATAGTATCGTAGGCGGGCTTGTCTATTAACGGTAGCTATGTATCTAAGCTCACGGTCCAGTCCCTTTATGAATGTGTTTTATCTTTAATCCTCATCCCAGTTAGGGTTCGGGCCTGGGGGCTTGGGACCACCTGCTTGTCTTGCGACTATGATTTGGTCAACCGACAGGACAGTTCGAACTGCCTCAGTCGCTAGCTTGATGGCCCAGGACTTGCTAACGAGGAGATCTAATATACCCTCCTTCCTAGCGTCGAGGGTCCCAGTGCCGTCATCATTCTACTTGAACATTAGTGGGGGGTTCGGATAGGGGATCGGTAATGCTCACTTCAATATCAACACCGGTAGTCCAGTCGTCCTTTTTATGATGTGCCGTATATAGTCTGCTCAGTACTTCGGTAGCATCCAGACCGGCGCTCTCTGCTATTGTTCGCGGGATGACTTCGAAGGCTTCTCCGAACTTCCGAATAGAATACTGCGGCAAGCCAGGGGTCTTGTCGCCGAACGCTTGGATGCGTCCAACCAACTGCAGTTCTGTTGCGCCGGCACCAGGGACTAACCGTGGATCGCGGGTTATGGCCTTAACCACATTCACGCCGTCGTCGACCGCTCGTTCGACATCATCCAGAAAGTTTTGAGTGGCACCTCGTAGCACCAGGGTGGCTGTTCTTGTCACCTCGTCCTCTTGTCTGAAAACTGTCACGCGATCGCCACCGATCTCGAGGGTCTCAACAATATCGACCGATCCCGTCTCATCTGGCATCGGCGCGCCTAATCTCGCGAGAGGAGTGGCGCCTACTACGCGGCAGATTCGCCGCAGCTCAAACTTGCTGAGGATCTTGATGACGAGAATGCCGAACCGGTTGAGGTAGTGCATTGCGAGCTCTCCTACTGTCGAGCCTGCAATGACTACTCTTATTCCCGCGTCGTGTAGCTCCTTGATAGCTGTCTCGAGCTGTGCTTCCTCGCCCTTGGAAAATTCCATCATCTCTTTAGCATTATGTAGCAGGACAGTGCCCTTCGTCTCAGTCTGGCTGGTGTCGATAGGGCAAGAGTAGACACCGACCCTGGCCTTCTTTGCCTTCTTGACCGATCCATCAGGCTCCTTGGGGAAAACCATGCCCTTTACCACTTTGCTCTGCTCTAGACTGCCACCCATGATCTTGACGACGCGAACATTGTCGACGTTAAAATTGACGGAGTTTTTGGGCATAACGGCCAAGACAGCCTCGGAAACGAGGTTGGCCAGGATTTCCTCGTTTCCATTCTGCTTGCTTGCGATGACGGTTCGGATGGCTTTGCTCAGTTCTTCGTGGTCCCGGATATCTTCGACTTTGTCCACAACCAGTTCCTCCAAGGCGCCCAACGCAAAGGTCTGAGCCCGTTCATAGCCGGTGACGATGTCAGCGGTCTTCAGGCCCATGCGCAGAAGGTCCTCGGCCTTCTTCAGGAGCTCGCCGGCTAGAACGATAACCAGGTTGGTAGCATCGCCCATCTCGGACTCCTGCTGCTGGCTCGCCATGACAAGGAGTTTGGCGGCCGGGTGAACGACATCGAGCTCTCTCAAGATGGTGGCGGCGTCGGAGGTCAGGATCATCTTCTGTAAATGGTTGATGACGATCTTGTTCCGGCCGTAAGGGCCGAGAGATGTCTGGACGGTGGAGGATATGGCTCTACAGGCATCGATATTCCGCAAAACGGCGCCATCTTCTGAATCGTAGCTGGAGGGCGGTTAGGCATGTCGACGTGCTTCCATCGTGGTACTATGGCGGGGGATGTAGAAGGTGTAAAACATACTTGTTGTAGCCCTGTTTGAACAGCCCAGCATTAGGGGCGCTGGGTATATTGAGAGACATGATGGCGGTGGTGAGGGGACTTCTCGCTCTAGACCTAACCCGCTCGTTTATAGTGTTGAGCTGCGGCTCTGGCCTATGCTGGAGAGGTATCTGAGATAGGGAGCAGGCGGTAGGATGGATTAATCAGAAGTAGGTACCTATCTTGTGTCAAGAAAAATTTGGTGGAGCTACCTCTTTTCGTTGTGTTGTTGCTGGTGGGTACCTAGCTTTCCTGTTGGAAGCAGTTAGGCCTGCGGTAGCAGAGGTAGTTGGTGGATACATAACGTAGCTGAGGTACTGAGGGGTGGCTTATCGGTTTATCGATTACCGATAGAAATCTTGTTGAGATTACCTCATGCTAGGTACCTTCAGCTCGGATGTACAAAGTACCTACCAGATAGGTTTTACCATCCTGAATCGGAATGGGAATCTAACCTGAGCCACGCCGCTTTTAGCCTGAGCGTAGCCTGAGCCAGGCAAGTATGTCTATCTTAAAGGCTAGATAACTAGCCTTGTTAAAACTTTCCATTATTAATTCACGTTCTACCGTAATTGTATGTGATTAAATGATAATAGAATCTGATACCAAAGAAATGGCTTGGGTGCAAAGCTACAGGGGAATTATCAGAAGTACATGGTGGTGCTCTGCTTAAAATTGATCTAGGTAGTAGTAGGATCATGAAGAATTGACCTGAAAAGGAAATATGGAAAAAATTTGGACATGGCCGGATTCGAACCGACGTCCCGGTTACCATGTCGTGAGATCCCGGTTGCTACCATGACACCACATGCCCATTGAGTTTAGCGCCACTACCTCAAAATAAATATATAAGTAACACACAGTGTTCTCTTTACACAATAGAGATTATAAATTAATCAAGATATTTTGGGTCGCTAGTTTGGTTGTGGGAAGAGCCGTGTTCGCATGGCTGCCAACTCCCCCGGCATCAGATGTGGCGCGTGAGGGATTGAGGCTGGTGGTTGTCGGAGCCTGAGCAAAAGCGGCGAATGCACTAGACCTAATTTGCTTGCAGCTTGGCATTTCGTAAAACCTGGTACTTTGTACCAGGCGAAGCATGTAGGTAATTCAATTGGTACCTAGGTACCTCTATGCCGTGAGGAAGTCCAATCTCCATGAACATTTGTCGGGAAGCTTCACTGCCTGGTACTAAATACACCCAGCCTTTGCCCTCAATAGTCACGCGATTTTGTTGCGCACTACTGCGGCTGTCTCGCGTCGCTCTCTCCTACTGCCCTCTCCTGCTACCCTCGGTCATTGTTGGTATCTTAACTACCTACATGTACCTAAACTTACTACCAACACTACCATCACCATCATCACCACTGCTACCACCATCATCACCATTGTCATCATCGTCATTGATACGGCTCTTCTCAACGTAGAGCTATTGTCCGCATTACCAATCACCAGTTCAATTAGCGAGATTGCACCACCCCCAAACACCCATAGCTCTTTTGTCGAGCTGTGTGACAGCGTGCATCTCGAGAGATGGCGCCCCAAAATTGTAAGTTGAACTCTCTGAATTTGCAGACCTAGCCAGCCTGTCGCTTCTACGCCATAACGCCATCTGCCTCGGACCACCCATATGTCGTCTCAGGCGCAAGATGCCAGCTGTTGCGTGAGAGCTTGGTTGATACCATAAGTCTCGATCCTCAAGCCTGGCGTGGACATGTGATTGTGCATCAGATACACCCGTCCTGGTAATCTGTAGTATGATATCGGGCGCGCCGGAGAAGCCTACTTCAGGTGCGCGTTGGTGCATGTGCTTGTAGTGACACCCATGACTCTGGTGTCTTTGCTCCCGCGGGCGCTAAACAGAAAAGAATCGCGTTTATACGGCTGAGTAGCCAGACAATTAGTACTAGACCACGGCTACGCGCAAGTGGCTCGTTTGCTACAATCAGCCGCAGCATCACCTATCATCTTGATCTCTACCTACGGACTCTAATGTTGAAACTGACGGCTGTGTTCCATACTGCAGCACATCCTCCTTCATTACCTCCGACGGTCGAAGAAGCCTATCGACGAAAATGCATCCAGCTGAAAGAACGATCCAAAGAGATCGAGGAAGAAAACGATGGGTATCGGCTTCGCCTCTCTCGACTTAGGCGCCAAATCCAGAAGTTACGCCTAGAGCGCGCTATCATCCTAGACCAAATCGCGAAGCGCACGAGCACCAACGTCGAAGACTCTGAAGGCAGTCCTAGTCCCCCACCGACTGTACGTAGCATGCCAGCACCGCCCTAAGTCCCCCCCTGGGGAGAAGGGAGTTCTCTTGTATGCTGAATAACTGTTAGCCTCAGGATAAGCCTCTTCGGACGAAACGAGGTCATCGTAAGCCATCTCTTTTACCCAGCAGCGATGGCGGACACACACTGGGTGTAACCTTGACCAGCAAACACCTCACAACCCTCTCGCCCAGCTCAGATGGTTTCTCACACTCGCAATTAGAATCACATAAGGAACAAGGCCGAGCTACCAACGGAGCGGCCAAGCCGCCTAAGAGGCCTAGTAACGCCTTCGAGATCTACTGCAACGACACTCGGCCCGTGCTGCAGGCGGAACATAAGGATGCGATCACCGCCGGCGAGTTCCGACTCGAGGAGGAGCTGGCGCGGGGCTGGAAGGATCTCCCAGAGAAGGAGAAGGAAGAGTTTCAAGCACGATACGAGCAACAGCTAAGCCAGTGGAAGGAGGCACGGGAGAGCTTCAAGCAGGGCATTAAGGACGCCGCCGCGCGAGAGCGATCACGCGTTCGCGACAACCGGACAAGCCGCGGTGGTCGAAGCCGATTTGAAGAGGCCCAGTATGACGAAGACGCGTACGACGACGACCAAGACGTCGAGATGGGTGAGGCTGAGGCCGAGCCAGGCGCCGACCTGGATACGGATCCCGAAACCGAGGTAGATGAGAACGATGGCGCGGACTAGTGTAACGGCCTAAGCCAAGCTCGGTGCTCTCAGACCGCTGGATCGCCGCCTCTAACTGCTGGAACGCCGCCTCTGGCTGCTGGAAAAACGCCTCTGACTGCTGGATCGCCGCCTCTGATTGCTGGAACGCCGTCTCTGATTGCTGGAACGCCGCCTCCAACTGCTGGAACACCGCCTCCGACTGCTAGAACGCCGCTTCCGACTGCCAGAACGCCGCTGCCAACTGCTAGAACACCCCTTCCGACTGCTAGAACACCGCTTCCGACTGCTAGAACGCCGCGTCTAAATACTAGCACCAAGCGTCCGACTCGCGCCGTACGGCGTGCAGGGGGCAGGGGCAAGAACAGATGAGACGGAGAGTGCCCAAAGCTTCGCGTTTAATATCAGACCCCCAAGATAAACTTCATAATGTGTTAGAAATGGCGCTTGATTTTGTATTTCGAGTATTCCACGGGTCACGACACGGAGCGGCGTTGAGGAAAACAAGGTATGAATATGAAACTGATGGTCTATCGCGTTCGAGGGTGGGAGGAAGATGTCATTGTATCATTATGAGAGACACCCTGAACGAGACAGATAGATACAGAGACACAAAACAGACAGACAGAGATGGGGGATACTAGTCCTGGCGTTGTATGCTCTGTCAATCTTATATAGCACGGAGGTTTTCGACCTTAATACGCATCTGGCGGTCTCTTCCCTATCCATCCCATGTGCTAAATTCCTTCCTTGCTACTATTAAACCAACCGCGAAATCATGCACCATACATCTTCTCTGTATTACTATATAATTATGTTTCCTTTCCCTTCTGTCGGCATATATATACTGCTTTACCTAGGTCGATCGGTAAGCCGTCCGGGCGGTGATCTGTCTTTTGACACCTTCCTTTCCTTGTTTTATTTTATGTATGTGTGTGTGTGTTAAGCGCCGTCAAGCCTTTTGCCCCTTCTCTACCCATCGTGCATCCTTTTATCGCTCACGTTGATCACAACCGATGCGTGGTGGTAGGCGATCGAACGAATACAACCGCGGCGCGCGATTAATAGAAGAAGAAGAAGAAGAAGAAGAAGAAGAAAAAATGTAACGAAGATAGGTAGTTTATATGAAGCCAGATATAAAAACCCCGTGTGATCGGCCGACTGCCTTGCCTGCCTGTGCGTGTGCCCGTTGTGTGCCCGTTGTGTATTGTCCTATGTACACTAAGAAGAACCAGCCCACCGAAACACCAAAGCTACGATAATTTAAAAGCGCTGTGGTTTTTTTTTCTTTTGTACAAGATTTTTAAAAAAAAATCTGGATAGAGTAACTAGCCGCAGTAGAAGATTATGAAATAACCCCGCTGCCCCGTAGGTGGTAGGTAATCAAACGCCGGCGTAGAGATCGACGACTATGTTAATAGCAGCGACGAGGATCTCGGCGGCGATGAGGACGATGACTATTCGTCGGTTATGCGACTATTAGCGGCTGGTATATATATATGTATGGGTTTATAAGAGGGGGGGAAATAAAATAAAAAAAGGGGGGGGGGGGGGGGATTACTCACCGATCCACTCGAGCATCTCGCCGTGCCCGTGACTCAGCTGGTCCTTGAGCACGGCGAGCAGGTCGGCGATGACGTCGAGGCGCTCCGTCAGCAGGCCGACGCGCTGGTCCATCTCGAGGTAGCTGCGGACGGCCTGGTAGACGGGCTCGAGGTGGGGCTCGACCCAGAAGAGCTCGGGCGTGTCGAGCACGCTGCCGTTGAGGTGTATGTTGATGCGCAGGATGAAGAGCTCGCCGATCTGCATGTTGATCTGCGTCTGCGACAGCGCGATCTTCCCCGCCAGCGCGATCTGCGTCGGGATGTCCTTGCACGCGTCCACCGTAGAGGCTATCAGTTCCTCGAAGAGGGAGGTCTGCGTTTTTCGTGGGATTCGTCAGCGATTATATATGCGTAGTAGGTACGCGTGTCTTTCGACTGCGGAGTCAGAGGAAGGGGGGGGTTAACATATATGATTATTATGCCTTACCTTTACGCTTTGCGCGAGAGCATGTGATATCGCGAGCTTGGTCATGTAGTTCCCTTTATCCCGGAGCGTGATGAAGTCGTTGTATATCCGCGCCTGATATTCGCGTGTGTAATAGAAGTTAAAACATTCCGTCTCGACGTCGTCCGGATCTAGCTTTTCGAGCTCGAACTTCGCAATGTCCTTTAGGAACCGTTGCTCATGCGCGAGCGACATGCCCCATATCACTACCACGCCATAGTCGAAGAGGAATACCTCGGGTGTGTGTACGTGGGTATCAAAGTCAGCGTCTACCGCGTGCGGGCGCGTGTTATCTACGGAGCTTTCGTGGGGGTAGGTTAAATTGTGATTGGCATCACGGCCGATGCCAAAGGGATCCTCTGGCTCGTGGCCATGCTGTGGCTGTTCTGCCTCGAAACCTGCCAGTGTCTCTCGCTGGTATGTACTAGAATGCTCTTCTACCTCCAGTTCGCCGGTAGAATGGCGTCGTTCGTGGGTATATATGGGTTGATCCCTATACTCCTCGAAGGAGTCCTCCCGCTCAGAGGACCTCCCCACGTCGTAGTTGTAGGGCGAATATATGCACTCGTCGATCAATTTGGGGCTCGCCCCCTTTTTCTTGCCCCGCCCTTTCAGGAAGCGCATTAAGCCGTCCATCTGGTATTTGTTGGCGGTGCAATAGGCAGTGACCCGCGGGAGTCTCTCGCGATCGGCTTTGCCTAACCTCGCGGCATCCCGCCGAGCCGTAGGGTCCTTGATGCGCGTGTATTGCGCGTAGACATCCCGGCCGCTCTCCTCGTCCTGATCGGCCTCGTCGACCTCGGGATTCGGAAGA